AGCATGTGGATACCGATCTCCAAAATGTCTAAACTCGAGACGCCGAATCTGGAATACGGCTGTTTTACGGTTATGTATCAACACGTAGTGGCCGCATGGGATGTCCCAGAAAAAAAAAAAAGCCTTAGACGAGTCATGCCCCTGTATAGCTCATGAACATAAGAAAATAAAAAAAAAACAGTGAAACGAGGACAGTTATGTACGGGCCTGGCCGCCATCGGAAGGTCTACGGGCCGCGTATTTGAAAATTTGGACTATCCGCAATTCGGATATATGGGCTGTTTGTTGGAGGGCTCATTAAAATGCATGTCTATGCGTATGCAAGCAACAGTCATGACGAAAACTATTACGCATGAAATATTGGTTTCAAATAAAATAGTCGCAATAATTCATTACCAACGGCGAGATGCGCAATGTTTTGGATCTGAAGATGACGCAAATTTGCGATCAACACTTCAGAGAAAGAAAGCTAAAGAAGCGGATTAGATAAATAGAAATATAGATAAATGAAATGCGCGAGGGAAGTGGAAACGTGTTGACGCGATCCTCGCGGATCTTCGTATCATCTGGAAAATCGTATCGCCCGGGTACTTTCCGCAGAAAATTCTGTAAATCGTTCGCGACGTGATCAATATAAATGGAAAGAAATAAAAATTAAAAAAATGCTGCTTTAAACGTGTCATGATCCGATCATAAGGCACGCCGCAGGAAGGGTATCACTATTAATTTTTTTAACTAAATTTGTAACTTGCTTGCACCAGGTGTACTCGTAGCTCCTGATTAAGTCTCGTACACTGTCCTGCAGCCTTTGACAAAGCAATTAAGCCACGAAGTGAACGGCAGGTATTCCGACTCTAGAGTGATTCGTGTTAGTTCAGCATCATCTCTTGTGAATGCATGTCTTTTTTCTTTAACTATATGGTCAGACACATCTTGGGCTTTCCCACTACTCATATCTGTCTTTCGCACATCGCGACGTCAGAATAAGGAGATCATGAAACGCCGAATGCATTCGCACAGCAGTTCTCCTGCATGCGCACGAGTCTTCACTCATTAGTGCCGTTCAAATTGAGTCGTTACGTATGCTAAACTATAACTTTAGCAGCTTATAAGATGGCGGCACGAGTCGTACCACTGTAGGGTTAGAAGGTATCCTTTCGGCTATATAAATATGTAACCGCACCTACAAAAAGGAGATACCTTCCGTTGTATAGCGCTGCTCCGCTCGGACTAAAGTTTCTTTTGCGGAATACAAGCAACAGGGCACATGTGTATACATGTGACGCCCAACGAATGCCGTCGGACGACACTCGCAGTTCTCGGACGGGTACACCTCCTTTTCCAGCGTTTCTGGATTTGCATTCGAATGCACCCTGTGTATACACACACACGCAACATTGACTCCAGAATGAGTTCCGGGTGGAGACGAAGACCGGCGGCTCACGTTGTATACGCATGACGCCGTCATGCCCATATGTACATCCGAACGGCGGCGGCCGCTGGCATGTCTGAAGTCCGTGACGGGCGAAATTCCCGCAGCTGCTATGGCACATAGCCACATACGCACGCTCGCGCCGATGAGTCTCCGCGGGTTAAATTTACACGCTGGCGTCGCGACGCGGTCGCCAGAAACGTGGCGCGAGTTTTAGTGACAGCTCAATTAAGTGCAAGCATTCGGTGCAGCTCGCTACGTCCACAGGCCAGTCTGCGGACGTAGCCGCAGACTGGCAAAGGATCCGCAGGCCAGTCTGCGGATCCTTTGGAAGTGCGAGTCGTGGCGCGAGAAGTGCTGTCATTTTTTCGGATGAGCGCGCCGTGGTTGCGAAAGTGTCAGTGCGCGTGTTCGGGTTTGGTATGTATACGTTGCGTCCAGAGAAACAGGAGCTCGGGATAACCAGAATCGAGAAACGAGATATTTTTTTCTTTTTTTTGTTTGAAAACTATAAAAAACAAATAATTAACAAAACCTTGAATTCATGCACTCTAATACGTTCTCTGCGTTGGAAAGGAGGAATTATGGATAAAACGAGCATCGAGGATAACGCTGTCAAGTGTGCGATTACCGGCGATGTCAACACGTAAGCGCGCTTGAATCGCAGTTTTGAGTGCAGTCCTGTTTTGTGGCCCGTGTGGTATAGAGCGTCGCACGCGCGATTCGAATGGTGCAGGTTCACATCCCATCGACGAAAAAGGTGATTTTTTTGTTCACGTTTATTCTGCTCAATTCACGTTACAGTTAGTGCACTACAGTGACGCATACTTTAGTATCGCTTATAGGCTTTCGCCGGCGTCATTGCCTGTTCTGTCCATTTGTCTGTGTTTCCCTTCTTTAGTTCGTTCGAATGTGCGTGGCACGCGAATCTCGTTTCGGTGTCCCACTCCATGTATGCACCTGAATGTATATGTACGCCGAACCGAAATCGGTATTTCGCTATGATGTAAGTTCATAAAAGGCGTAGCAGTTATACAATTCAGCAAACGAGGCACCCATAAAGAAAACAAAAAACGAGGGAATGATATGTAAAGAGTAGTGCGAGCCGTGGGTCTGTCAACGTTCAGTTCGCCGTGCTTTGTTTTACAATGATGTTTTCAAGAAAAAGAGCAGTAGTGTTTTTTTCCGGCTGGCGGTAATGGTTAGCAGCTGGCACGCAGCCGGATCTTGTTCCGAGTATACAGCTTTTAAGTAGGCAGGACATTATATATATATATATATATATATATATATATATATATATATATATATATATATAGTGGGAGTAATAATTCAACGGGCCAGTTAGTCTTCGTGAAGGTATGGGATATGGCACAACGGGAGCGTTGTCAACAAGGATAAATATATTTATTTCCCAACAGTTTCGGGAGGGGACCTCCCTTCATCAGGGAGGTCCCCTCCCGAAACTCATCCCCTGATGAAGGGAGGTCCCCTCCCGAAACTGTTGGGAAATAAATATATTTATCCTTGTTGACAACGCTCCCGTTGTGCCATATCCCATATATATATATATATATATATATATATATATATATATATATATATATATATATATATATATATATATATATATATATATATATATATATATATATATATATATAAGGGAGAGAAGTGTATACCTAAGGGCTCGTATTTCCGTGTTTTAACACAATATTAATGAGATGTAACAGACAGTAATGCCAAGGAATGTACAGGGGAAGTTATTAGAACCAATGGAATGTAAATAAGAAGAAAGAAGAAGAAAAGTGGATGAAAAAATTACCAGCTGTGAGCAGGAATCGAACCCACGACCTTCGAATAACGCGTTCTATATATATATATATATATATATATATATATATATATATATATATATATATATATATATATATATAGATATATATATATATATATATATACAAGCGCGAAACTTTATTGAGTGATTTGCGCTAGAACGCGGACGACATTGAAGGGTGATTCTAAAAGATGCATACTTCTTTGCGACGGCGTGATGGTGGTGTTTTTATCCCGGACTGCGCGTGTGTCGTCCGCTTCGGAGGGGAATTGGCAGCTGGATCTTTCGTGCGTTTTCATTTTCAGTTCGGTATAGCTATAGTCTATATGGTTGCCTCTCGCTTTAAGCGAACACCTATAGACGTGGCGCATCCGTTTAGTAATGTATACAACTACTACACGTACGAGTCATTAGTAGAGCGTACACTGTGGCATATGCGGAATGAATGTGTAATGGAGGAAAAATCGTCGTCACGTGCGTTAGCCGTTCCCTGAATGAAAGAGGGAACGAGGAACACATATATATCTGTGAATGTTTTTTTTTTCTTTCGCGTTTCGATTGTTGACGGCTCGTTCGAGTGTGTTCGTTTCCTTAATTGTGAGTATAGGTTGATTCCTCTTTACGGCGATAAGTGTTTGAGCGATCCTTCGTTACAGCGACCACTTTTGTACGGATTGCAGTGTGCGTGTCAATGTGTATGTAGTTTGTGCCTTCCCTCGAAACATCTCAAATAAATCGCTCTAGAGCACCGACACCAGTTGTTCATTCGAAGGTCGCTGGTTCGGTCCTTGCCGGCGGCAAGTTATTCCTTTTATTTTTTATTCCTTATATTTTATTTTTTTAGTTATTAGCTTTTCGTCCACTTTTTTTTTTTACATTGCAATCACTACTGATAACATCTTTCTTTGGCACCATTGTCTGTTATCATTATTGTCCTGTCTAACAGAGAGAACGAACTTTTAAATTTACTCTTCTTTCTTTCATATTTGTCGAAGGTTTCTCTCGGAGTACAGACCGAAACGTCGAACGTTTCGATAGGTGGACTTCGTCTATGGCTGTATTTAACGACTGCACTTGTCGAAAACGTTGGCTCCAGCGACGTTCCACGTTCAACAGTTCCTCGTCGCTTCAAGCCTTTATCTTTTTTTGAACGTCGCTCTTGTCTGGAAATGGTTAGATTCATCTAGCAATTTTGTATGCCTAAATGATATTTGAGGTCGTTGCCCTTTTCACGATGTTTGCAGTCTATTGGTGGTGTGGCTTGCTGTCCGCACGCACGCACGCACGCACGCACAGACAGACAGACAGACAGACAGACAGACAGACAGACAGACAGACAGACAGACAGACAGACAGACAGACAGACAGACAGACAGACAGACAGACAGACAGACAGACAGACAGAGACGAAGACTACGACATGGGCGGCACTTCCAACTGATTTATTTCAAGCATGAACCAGAGCGATACATAAAAAGTAACCCACGCGTGCGCAGAACAGCCTGCACTGCCTAAGCTACCCACATATCAAACAATCTAATATCAGAAGACCGCAGCTGTATTGCAGTTTCACTAATACATTCATCACCCAACTTAGTGATACGAGAGGCCTCTTATAGTAGACACGTGTTCTTGTCTCTTTTCTGGTTTTAACGGCGGCAGAGTGTCATTCAGTAAGCAATGCCAACTAGGCCAAGAAGAAATTTTTCTCAAGTGGCTTGTTGTTTGCAGGGTGCCATGTGATCAGGGCTGCCGCAGCAGCCATGGGCCGGAGGCTGAACCTGTCGCACCTGAGCCAGGAGGAGTGCGAGCGCATTCTGGCCGTCATCCAGCGCGACCTCGAGCTGCGAGCACGAGAGAAAGAGCGCCTCGGGTATGTCGGATCACGTGTCTTTTCGTGTCGACTTTCCATGGTTCATCTCGTCGGACCCGCCGTGGTCCAGTCAAGGCCGTAGCCAGAATATTTTTTTCTCGGGGGAGGGCCACCAGATGCAGGCCTTAAAGAAACTCGTTTTTTTTTTCATTTTCATTATTTCCCCGCATTAATTAAAATGGGGCGGGGGGGGGGGGGTCTTCACCCCTCTGCTGGCTACAGGCCTGGGTCTAGTGTCTATGGTGCTCGTCTGCTGACCCGAAGGTCCCAAGATCGAATCCTGGCCTCAGCATCGGCATTTCCGTGGGGGAGAAATGCTAGACGCCCTTGTGATTACATTAGGGCGCACATTGAACATGCCCTTGGTCGACAACTATCAGAGCCCCTCTCAACGGTGCCTCTCATAATCAAATTGCAGTGGTGGGATGTAAAACCCCAACTATTATTAGTATCCATTCTACGCAGCCAAAAATTTGTCTTAATCATTTTCTTTCAAATCTTTCGACGATGGTCTATCCCCCCCTTTTTTTTCTTTACTGTTTATCGACTCCTTATCTCCGCCGCCCGTCATCAATGTATCAAATAAGATATTTTTATCTGCTTAACTTACTTACAGTTGCTTAAATTCGCATCTATATATTATAGTAGGGGTAGTGCAAGGACGGGAAGTGCAGAACGCATATACAATGTAGTTGTTTGAGCAAATTGTACACTCTGCGTAAAATTCCCGTTTAGTATTGTTTTTTTTCGCCTTTTATTCCCCCAAAACAGAAAAAAAATCAAGTCACAGCATATCCATGAAGTAAATGATGATGAGTGGGGCGAAGTGTCCGTCCGTCCATCCGTCCGTGTCCGTCCGTACGTGTATGCGTCCGATCGCGCTCGACAGTGCAGACGGCGCACGGGTAACACCGACGCGACGCGAGCCAAAGAAGCCGAGCGCAAGAATCTTCAACGCGCCCGCCGCGCTGCTTCGTCCACGCCCCACCAACGATCCAGCACATACGGTGACTATCCAGTAGACTGAGAGAGGCACTCGTTCTCTGCGCACTCAGGCAATGCGCGCTCAGCAGCCAATCGGAGAGTAGCGGCAGAGTAACGCCATCTAGAAAATGAGACGAGAAATGGTCATCAAATTCTTTAGCCTTCTTTCCCGTCTCTTCTTCTCTCGGTTACGCGCGACCAGTGACAAGGCTAGACTAAGAGGAGCTTCGCCCCTAAAAAAAAAAAAAAGTTGCACGCTACTGTTTCACTTGTTCGAATGGTTCTGCCAAAAGTAGTTTCAGCAATTGTTTCTGAGACCGGGGAAGCCCTGCCCGCCGCCCTCTGCCACTGGAAAGAATAGAATTCGGTGCGATCATCGGGGTGTACGCGTCGAACAACGTCCTTGGTCGGTGTGATTGAACTGCAGTAATACAAACGTACGACAATTGCCGTTTTATGCAGTTCAAGGTTGCTACCTTCACAGGAACACGGGTGCACGTATACTTTCGGAGGGGCACATAAATCGGATCACCCGTAATATTTCTGTTTTCCCCCTATACTTGCCCCGTATATTTGACCGCAGCGCCGTTATGTCTGTGTAGGTATAAGCGCTCTCTCCGCGACCCGTTTCGGAGTCTGCGACCCGAAGTCGTTCTCGTCGCGCCCTCTCGTTCCACGAGTCGCGTTGTGCGTGAGCGCTCGCGGCAATGCCCGCACAAAACGGTCGGTGCCCAGTCGAGATAGAACGCTGATCTGGGCTAAGGTTGTCGAAGGTCGCGCCTTGCGTCCCTATACATCTGTCTACTGGCGCGTGCGTGTGTCTATGCCTTCTGCTCGCCGTTTCGAACGTGCAATTGCCTGCGCTTTCTTCTCAATTCAATCGCGAGCGACTGCGTCTCTCTCTCTTTTTTTTTCTCTTCTTGTTGTTGACTGTATACGCTCGTGTCACCTTCGGCTCACCGAGGTCGTCGTGCTGCTCGATCAGGTTTTGTTTGCGGCCCCGCCGCGGTGGTCTAGTGGCTAAGGTACTCGGCTGCTGACCCGCAGGGCGCGGGTTCGAATCCCGGCTGCGGCGGCTGCGTTTCCGATGGAGGCGGAAATGTTGTAGGCCCGTGTGCTCAGATTTGGGCGCACGTTAAAGAACCCCAGGTGGTCGAAATTTCCGGAGCCCTTCACTACGGCGTCTCTCATAATCATATAGTGGTTTTGGGACGTTAAACCCCACATATCAATCAGGTTTTGTTTGCGGCTGTAGCCGCGTGTGTTTACAACGCGCATTTGCCCGTTTTATAGACCGTCTCAGTCGGCCCCTTATTCTTCCTCGCTCGTTTTTCCCCGCTGTGTGCGCGCGTGTGGGTTCCCTCTTTGCGAACTTCGATTTCGATATAGAAACGTGGCTGGTTTCTCTTCTTTTGTCACGCGGTGAGGCCTCTCGTACAGGGGGTCATCGCATATACCGCGCACTACGTGGGTACTATATTACATACACACGTCGGGAGGACGGAGCGTGCGCGCGGCTTTCGATGTGCCGAAAGGCCGGCCCGGGCCGGCCGTCCACGGGCTGCTGTATTTTCCTCTAACGCGCCGAGTCTCGCTTCGGTTGCTAGCTGGAAAGAGCAGACAGTTGGGTCTTTCCCTCCACGCCTTCTTTTTCATTTTTCCCCCCTCATGTAATAGCCGAGCGCCAGCAGCCGGCTTTTGACTGGTTCTGTCTTCACTCTCTTGGTCGCTCGTGCCGTTCGAATGGCCGTCTGTGTGTATACGACTGTGTGTACGTGTCGTTCACCGGCGTTTTCACGTCCCGGCGGCTATGGAGAAGACTGAATTTCCTCGTGGCCTGCACGACGCTCGTGTACAGAAACTGAGGATGCACTTTTTGATGCTTGCACATCGCCTCCATGCAGGTCGCAGGCTGTAACATGCGTTTTTGGTAGTCTCCATGTGTGGTGTCCACACTGCACCTCCCACGCTCGCCTTAGCCTTTTTTCTCCCCCTTTATGACCGTCAGCTCATCGGAAAGCATCGCATACCGTCGAAAATGAGGAAGCATGAAAGTCGGTAGTACAAATCTTTTGTTATTCGTCAAGGCCGTATTTCCCGCGAAAAAGCGGTAGTTACCGAACTGGAACGGCTCTCGAATGCACGTCGCATAGCCAGCGACTTTTTTTTTTTTTGTTACCCTGCTTTCGTTCAATTACTCTTTCTTAATAAGTTTGCCCTTCGGCGGAGCGCGCACATGGTAGCGCTCGCTCGAAGCAGCGCGCGCGCCGATGGCGTGTTTTGTGGCACACTTTTGTTTCGGCGGCGGCCGGCTGTCTGGCAGGTTCGCCAGCTGACCGTGTTGCTTGGGCTCACCCCGAAGCAGTTAGTGTTCGTACTACAGCGCTGGCATGCAGTAGTGCCGCGGGTGGTTCCCGATGGTATCTGCGACGCGGGCAGCTATAGCTGCCCGTGCTACAGATCCAGTTAAAAAGTCTTAACGGTCGTCTCGTGAAACGGTAACGGTTTGCTTTGCGAGTTGTATGGATCGGCGCCGCGCAGAGCACCGCAGTGCGATAAGCCGACGCGCGCCTCTGCAGCGCGGGCCGTTTCGCTAGGAGATAAACGAGCTGCTTTTATATTCGCCCTTGATTGCCAAACACGGGCGGTCCTTGGCCTTTGGGGCCGTGTCGGAGGCCTTCGCTTTCGCTTTGTGCGCTTCTTTGATTGAAGTGCGGTGCGGTGGCGTAAATCATGTCTCACCCCCGTATTCACAAGCGCTCCTCGACTCGACTTTCACCCTTCACTTGACAGACTTGAGCACTGCGCCGCTGCTCGGCTGAAAATGATGCTGCGCTACTCAAGAACAGCAGCAAATTATCACTTATATGCACTGACTTGCCCTGCATAGAGATGGCGCTTCCATCGGCTATCTCAAGAGAAGGTGGAGCGTTGAGTGAAGGGGCGTTCTAGAATACGGAGGTCAATCCCTCTGCTTCTTCTAGGGGTGCCGCTTTGCCTTGAACTTGGCTCCTTGGTTCTATCGTTACTTTGCTATGTATGGAGCTCGACTATCGCCTTGATGTTATTCACTGTAGAGGACTTCGTCTTCTCCGTTATCTGACGACGATGCTACTGAAATGATGTCGCTGCAGGTTCGCATGCTGTTTTACCACCGCTGTTTCAATGAAATAGCATTCTCACTTGGAAACGAATCGCCAGTACTTGTGCTTGAGTAAATGTGGCGTGGCACCAAGCCCAAATGCCCGAGGACCGTCAGAGAAGTCGCCTGATATGTGCCACTGACGGTATATGTACTCCTGCTGTGGCTTAATAATTGGGGGTGGCCCTGCCGCGGTGGTCTAGTGGCTAAGGCACTCGGCTGCTGACCCGCAGGTCGCGGGATTGAATCCCGGCTGCGACGGCTGCATTTCCGATGGAGGCGGAAGTGTTGCAGGCCCGTGTGCTCAGAGGTTTGGGCGCATGTTAAAGAACCCCAGGTGGTCAAAATTTCCGGACTCCTTCACTACGGCGTCTCTCATAATCATATGGTGGTTTTGGGACGTTAAACCCCACAAATCCATCGATCATTAGGGGTGTTACAATGGCCAAAAGCTCGGCGAATATAATTTGTGGCTGCTTTCAGCTGCAGTGTTCTGTATTCACATAGTGTTACGCTAAGGCGATAGCTACCAAGCACCGCGCAGACAGCAGCAGTATCACAACATTACACTGTGACGTTGGAATACATACAGATATCGACAAATAGTCGCAGATTAATACGTAATATTGTTGCATTGGTCAATGGAGAGAATCTCAGGGATCGACTCAAGTCATTTTTTTTTACAATGAACCCGAATATGACTAACGTCCGGGGTTTTGTGGCGTCGTCCGTGTGCAGTGTCCAACAAATGGCTAGTTTCCTCAGGCTCCCCGAACTGAATTTACTGGACCACTCTGGAGAACGATGAAATGAAAACAGCAGTTTCCGTGTCCGCGCTCTACCAGGACACACACGTGACTCGGGGCAGCGGCAA